TATGCCTGTAGCTAGTTTGAGCTCATTTTGTGCCTTTGCCTTTCTAATCTTGCCCCTGCATTCCCGTGTTGCTTGCCTATATTCATCCTTTGTTAGTTGTCCTAGTTTCCATTTTTTATATGACTCCTTTTTTATTTTGAGATCATGCAAGATCTCCTTGTTAAGCCAAGCTGGTCTTTTGCCATATTTTCTATCTTTCCTACACAGCGGAATTGTTTGCTTTTGGGCCCTTAACAACGTCCCTTTGAAATACTTCCAACTCTCCTCAGTTGTTTTTCCCTTCAGTCTTGCTTCCCATGGGACCTTACCTACAAGTTCTCTGAGCTTATCAAAATCTGCCTTCCTGAAATCCATAACCTCAATTGTGCTGGTCTCCCTTCTACCTTTCCTTAAGATCATGAACTCTATTATTTCGTGATCACTGTCCCCTATACTGTCTTCCACTTTCAAGTTCTCAACTAGTTCCTCCCTATTTGTTAAAACCAAATTTCCTGATTTGTCGTAGCCAAATTAGCCCCCATCATACTGTATGTATAGTTGGGGGTATTTTTCCCGATGTGCATTACTTTAAACTTATCCACATTACATTTCATTTGCCATTTTGTTTCCCAATCACTCAGTTTGTTGAGATCTTTTTGGAGCCCCTCACAGTCTGCTTCTGTCTTGACTATCCTAAACAGTTTGGTATCATTCGCAAACTTTACCACCTAACTGCTTACCCCTTTCTCCAGATCATTTATGAATAAGATGAAAAGGATTGGTCCTAGGACTGACCCTTGGGGGACACCACTAGTTACCCCTCTCCATTCTGAAAATTTACCATTTATTTCTACCCTTTGTTTCCTGTCTTTTAACCAGTTCTCAATCCAAGAAAGGACTTTCCCTCTTATCCCATGGCCGTGTAATTTACACAAGAGCCTTTGGTGAGGGACCTTGTCAAAGGCTTTCTGAAAATCTAAGTATACTATATCTACTGGATTCCCCTTGTCTGTCTGTTTGTTAACCCCTTCAAAGAACTCTAATAGATTAGTAAGACATGATTTCCCTTCACAGAAACCATGTTGACTTTTGTCCAACAAATTATGTTCTTTTACGTGCCTCACAATTTCATTCTTTACTATTGTTTCAACTAATTTGCCTGAACAGGGCTCTCTTCTCTATGAAGAGCTATTCCATATCTTATTTTTCTCTGGTCTTTTTTTGGATTGGGCTTCTCTGACTGACACAGTAAAAGATAAAGCCCTGTCTTCCCATCTCTCAGCTGTACCTAACCTCTACATGTTGCTCCCTCATTATTCCTTCAAGAACCAAGTTTCCTGTTCCCACTTACTGTGTATTTCCCAAAATGGTGCTGTTGGTCTGTAAAATGGGAGCTACAATGAACAGCTCCCCCAATAATCCAGTTTGACACTATGCTTACCCCATTTAACTTTATCATTAAACATAGCACTCAATTTAACATTTAGATATTCTTGTTAATTAGTAATTGCTTTTTCCATATTTCTGGTGAGGGCCAAATGTGTCATTTCATCAGCTCCACCTGGCAATAGTGTGTGAACATTTTTAGATAGATTTCACATAATGAAAGCATATATTTCTATTTGCTTGTTTAAACAAAGTTCATAGTGAAACGCATTAGTAGTTCTTCCTGAATATCCATATCTGCTTTATTTTACCACCTTTTAGATATATTCACTGGCAGCATTAAACAGCCTATGTTAACTTGGCATTCTGACAGAGGATTATACTACTTTGCAGATTCTCTCTGCCTTCCAGCAATGTGAAGAATTATATTAAAACTCTAATGCAACAGAAGCACATGAAACATTTGAAATGTTTAGGTCAGTTTTGCCTCAGTTACATTTGTAGTGAATTTAATCTCTTGAAAGGTGTCAAACTGACAGCTCTAGAGCTATTCGTCCACATAACCAGTGCAGTATATGTAGCAAGTGCTTTCTAACATTGTAACTCGTATGAAGATTCATCACTTTGCCTCGAGCTGGGAACTAACTCTTCTGTGGCTCTGCAGTTCCCCCCTTATCGGCTGACCGAGTAGTTGATGGAAATTCCATCGACTACATGATTAGCTTGATTAAACAAAATTTAACATCCCTAGGCAGGCAGTGGCTGGGAGCTCCTGCCCCAGCCAGGAAACCCCCAGCATCAGCTGGGCCACATGACCAAGGATTCCCAACCCCAGTTGGGGAATCCTTGGTTGCAGTGGGGCTGTCGGTGGCCAGGCAATGTAGAACAGGAACCTCCCCTCCCCCAGTGGCAGCAGGGCCAGGGTGACCAAACAGCCTCTGCTGGGGGAACCACCCATCTGAAGTGGGGCTGGTGGAGGCAGGTGGCTGGAATCCCCAGCGGCAGCGGGGCAGCCCTAGCAGCAGGGCAGGGTGGCTGGTGGCAGTGGCCAAGGGTCCCGCCGGGAACCTTAGGAGAGCCTGGAACAGCAAGGTGGGGAGCCCTCGAACAGTACAGCCAGCAGGGAAGCACTGACCTACCCTGCTTTGGCAAACTCCCTGGTTTGGGACAGCTCAGGTCCTGAGTGTGCCGGACCAGGGAGATGCAACCTATAAGATTATTAAAGTTGAGTCAGAAATAGTGGTGACATTTAAATTAACCAGTGGGTCTATCTAATGATGACTTAGGTAGTTGATCTCCTTCCTAATTTAAATTTGCCTCTTCTACTTTGTTTTTCAAGCACAGATCCTCGTTTTTTGAAGTAAAAGCAAATGAGCATTTATTAAGAAAGCAATATGGTCTTTTGGGTGGGGAGTGCGGTCTTAGAAGTTAAGTGAGTTTTTATTTCCTTATATATTTTAATATAGTTCATACACTGATATCTTCCAAAGTGATGAATATTATGTACAGTGAAGTATAAAAGTTATCCTACCCAGGTGTACCTACTGCCTGTCTTAAGACACTGCTTTGCATATGTAATTGCAAATCTGGTGAGTCATTCTGCAGTGCTAGTAAAGTTAACTTGCCAAGAGAAAAAAGCCATTTAATGCTTTGAGAGCCTTTGTCATAATACTTAGGCAGTGTTACTTTAGACCAGTGGTCACCAACCAGTAGATCGGGCTCTACCAGTAGATCTTGGAGCCTCAGACAGATGATCCTGACTGGTTCGTCTGAGAGGTTATCAAGTGCTGGCTCTTCAGCTGTCCCTCCCTCCACTGCTGCCACCTCCTGCCCTTTGCCTTGGAGCTGCCCTCCGCTCCCAGGAGCCTCCTGCTTGCGGTACAGAGCGGGGAAAGGCAAGAAGGGGGTGCTGATGTCAGGGTGCCCCCTCCTACTCTATATTCTCTCTCCATAGAACAGAGGTCGGGGGCACAATAGAGCTTGGTATGGGGAGAGTTTGCTGGCTACCTTTGGGAATGGTACAAGGCCAGGGCAGGGGTGAGCCTGCCTTAGCCCCACTGCACTACCACCTAGGAGCCACCTGAGGTAAGCAGTGCCCAGCTGGATCCATCTCTGAACCTCTGCCCCAGTCATTAACCTCCTCCTGCACCCCTTGCCCCAGCCCTGAGCCCCCTGAACTCAAACTCCCTCCCAAAGCCTGCACCCTGAACCCACTCCTTGCCCCAGGCTCAGCTCAGAGCCCCTATCACACTACAGATCTCTTAATCTAAGACCAGAGCCTCTGCCCCTGCCTAGTGAAAGGGAGGGGAGATGGGGAAGGGCCTTAGAGAAGGGACAGAGGAGTGAGCAGGGGCAGGGCCTTAGAGAAGGGACACGAAGGAGGTGGGGCAAGGGTATTTGGCTTTGAGGTAGATCTTACATTGCATTTAAATTCAAAAAGTGATCTTGTGCTTTAAAAGGTTGGAGACCACTGAGTTAAGACTATTTAAAGCACAGTTTGTCAAAGTTATGTCTAATCTTAAGGAGTGTTTTAGATATTTTTGCATTTTTCGTCCATACTTAAAACTGAATTCAAAGATTTCCCACTTTCCAGGTGTTGTGAAGAAAGTAACTAAAATGTGTATATATTTCTACTATATGCATTATGGTGATAATGATGGTGTGAGATCACAGGCACAAATCTGGAGCTCTTTCGAAGCCCCTATGAGATTTTGGCTGTAGCTGTACAGTATCCGCTGAAAATGAGATGAACACACAGCACCATAATAGGGCTTTCACATCGCTACTTGAAATACAACTAATAATATGCACATATGAATAACAAAGCAATTTTAGGTCTCTAAATTTTAGGTCTCTTTTAAGGCCATGTTTGTATATTTGCTGCTGCATTCAGCTTTTGGAGTTTTCTCCAAGACTATTTTAACCTGAATGCTCTTCAATTGTAAAAAAACATTTAGAACCAAATAAACAATATATTGCATATGGAAAGTACCAACAAGAAAACTGGAACATGTTTCTATGTACCATTTGCCCATGCATAAAGCTTCTGTTTGAGGAAATGTCATATTATTTGCTTGCTGACATAATGGTTTGTTTTGTTGCATACAGTTTGATTAAAATTGTTTTTATTTTATCTTTAGAAAAGCAGATTATTTAGAGCTTGATTCTGTCACATGTACTAATGGTGAGTAATGTCTAGAGCCCTGCAAATTCACAGCGCTCATTTTTGCAGGTATCGATGTGGATGCATATACAAATTTTGTATCTAGAAATCTACAAATTTGCAGATATCCACTTTATATCCTCGGGCATCCACATCTGTGGATGTCAGGATAGATATCCACGTTCATTTTTGCGGATACAGATACGGATACATATTTTGTATTCATGCAGGGCTCTAGTAATATCTTACTCTGCAAATGGCCATTGAAATCAGTGTGACTAGTTGTGGAGTACTAACATGAGTGAAGGTGACAGAATCTGACCCTAAGTATTAGTAAATTTTATTCAGGGTTCAGAATAAATTATTCTGCAGGATTTCTAAATAACTAGGAGATACTGATAAGAGTGGGTCAAAATTAAAAAAAGAAAAGTTGCTATGTCAATGATGAGCTATCTTCTATCTTTCTGTAAAGGGCTATCGCCAAAAGGATTATTTCATTGCAACCCAAGGACCACTTCCTCATACAGTGGAAGACTTTTGGCGAATGGTGTGGGAGTGGAAATGTCACACAATTGTTATGCTTACAGAAGTTCAAGAAAGGGAACAGGTATGATTCAGTGCTGCAGTGTTTCTAATGATAAGGTCCAAGCTCTCTGTGTTAACATATCCTTTTTCTGCTTTGAATCTCTCTGCCTTGATTACTCCGTGTCCATTAACCTGCTGAGCTGACCATGTTGTAGGTAAAAGCAAAAGGTCCATACATGCTAGATTTCACCCATTTAATTTACAGCTACATTCATAGACATCAAGTGTAACACGATCTCTTAATGAGGGGACTAAAAAAATTACTAAAATTAATTGCACAAACTTTGGTTGTTCTATGGAGAGCTGGTAGTGACCCTTTGCCACAGAATCACAGAAGTCTTGGCTTCGTATGTCCCTGGTAACATTACGACTAAAAAGTTACAGCATAGTCTATCCTAAGCAAGGTTGCCTCTAAGCTGCACGGTAGCACAGCGCTGCACCTGTTTAATGAGCCCCGCCCCCAGCCAGGGGCTCAGGGCTCCTTGCACAGAGCTGCCTGGCTATGGGAGGGGCACATCTCCCTCAGCCACAGCAGCAACTCCCTGCTGAGAACAGAGCAGTGAGTCTTTCCCAGCCCTCTGGGGATCCCTGGACCTGCTGCCCTCACTGGGGATCCTCGGCCCCTGGACTGGGACGCTCTAGCAGCTGCTGGTGGAGGGTCAAGGTTCTTTGGTCCAGCAATATCCATGATCCTTCTGGATGTTGCTAGACCAGAGAGTTCTGGATTTGAGAGGTTGAACTTGTATTTGCTTCAGACCATTTCTCCAGTTTGTCCAGATCATTTTGAATTTTAATCCTATCCTCCAAAGCACTTCTAACTCCTCCCAACTTGGTATGATCTGCCAACTTTGTAAGTGTGCTCTCCATGCCAATATCAAAATCATCAATTAAGATATTGAACAGAAGCAGACCCAGAACTGATCCCTGTGGGACACCACTTGATATGTCCTTCCAGCTTGATTGTGACCATCTGATAATTACTATCTGGGAACAATTTTCCAATCAGTTATGCCTCCACCTCATAGTAGCTCCATCTAAGTTGTATTTCTCTAGTTTGTTAAGAGGGTCATGCGGGAGCATATCAAAAGCCTTACTAAAGTCAAGATTCACCACATCTGCCCCTGCGCCCTTCCACAAGGCTGCTTATTCTGTCAAGAAAGCTATTAGGTTTGTTTGACATGATTTGTTTTTGACACATCCATATTAACTGTTACTTTTCACCTTCTGATCTTCTAGGTTTTTACAAATCAATTGCTTGATTATTTGCTCCATTATCTTTTTGGGTGCTGAAGTTAAACTGACTGGCCTGTAATTCTCTATTGTCCTTATTCCCCTGTTATAGATTAGCACTAAATTTGCTCTCTTCTATCCTCTGGAATCTTTCCTGTCTTTCATGAGTTTTTGAAGCTAATTACTAATGTCTCAGATATCTCCTCAGTCAGCTCCTTGAGCATTCTAGGATATTTTTAACCAGGCCCTAGTGACTTGAGGACAGTGAATTTGTCTAAATAATTTTAAACTTTTCTTTCCATATTTTAATCTATATACTACTGCATTTTCACTGGCATTCGTTGTTAGATATCCAATCACTAATAAAATTTATCATGAAAAATACAAAAGTCATGTAGTACTTGTAGTGCTGGGCAAGTAATTTAAACCACAATTTGGACTGGTGGCTATTAGTTGAATGTGTTCTTCATTTTCTGGTTGTTCAACTTGACATACTGGGGCTTGTTTTGTGAAAGTGTGGAGCACTTGCAAGTGCACATGAAGTAAATGTTTGGCATGGATGCTCAAAGTAACATGGTCTGGAGAAATCCGTACAGAGCTGGGAGCCAGAAAGTCCTGCATTCTAATCCCAGCTTTGTCACTGATTCACTTGCCAGTGGCAAGTTTTTTTGTCTCAGTTTTCCCCATCTGTAGATGAGGCACATAATACTTTGTTATCTCGCAGAGATGTATAGGAAATTCATTAATATTTGTGAGTCACTCAAATATTATGGTGACAGAGGCCCTAGAAAAGACAGAAGAAATGAATAACTGCACAGTGAGTGCAGCATTTGGGCAGCATGCAGTAAATAAGGCAGGAGGTCACACTGACTGATAAAAAAAAATGAATAACTCATATTCTCTAGCTTAAGGGGGTAGCTGTGTTAGTCTATAACTAACTTGAAAAAACAGTGAGTAGTTCTGTAGCATCTTAGAGACTAATATATAATCACCTGCGCGCTCAGGCAGTAGTTTTCTGAGTTCAGCTCAGAAGTTCAAAGCTCCAGAGCAAGCAAGAAGCTCAGCTGATTAGCCAGGGGAAGAGGTGTCTCCCTGAGCAAGCAGTTAAACTGAGCTAGCTGACAGCTTGAACTGAGGAGCTCCCAGAATGGGTAAAAAAGGAGATAGAGACAATTAGTGTCTGGGGTGACAGGGAGGGAGGGAATTAGTAAGTAAGTAAGGGTACATCTATCTGCGGCACATTTCGGGATGCTTCCCTTATCTTGAAATAGCTATTCCGCACCTTGACAGCATGCCCATTATTTCGAAATAACTTTCGAGATAATGGGTGTGCTATTCCAACGTCCCTTGAAGAGTAAACCTTGTTCCACAAAGAGTAAGGGACGTTTTGGAATAGCTGTTTATTTCAAAATTTGGCACTGTGTAGACAGCGCCAAATTACAAAATAAGCTATTACAAAATAAGCTATTTCAAAATGCACTCAAAATAAGCTATGCAATTTGCATAGCTCAAATGGTGTAGCTTATTTCGAGCTAAGGGTACAGTGTAGACGCACACTAGGTAATTGGCTGATGAGGAGTCAAAGGGGATGGGAGTTTCAGGCACCCCTCTGCAGGGGGAGAGAGGCAGAAACTCAGCACACTCAAACCTCCTGGGGAAGGGGGAGATAAGGTGCTGATTGCATGAGGTACGTGGGGGGAAAAAAGGGGGATAGGTGCTAATATCTGTTCTGTGAGGTAGAGGCAGGAGGCAGTTTGTTTGGAGTGTCTGACTAGCTACAGTCCTCTCTGACTGGGTTGAGGAGTAGGGAGCATGCTGCAGGGGAAGTGTGTGTACCATGACGTTTGCATGATTGCATTCCAAACAAAGTTTGCATAAGGTTCTAATGGCTTAAGAAAGAAAAAGATTCTTTTAACAGATTGTTTTTGGAATTTCAGAGGGATAGCTAAGTTAGTCTGTAACAGGAAAAACTTAAAAAACAACAAATAGTCTGGTAGCACTTTAAAGACTAACAAAACATGTAAATGGTATTATGAGCTTTCATGGGCACAGCCCACTTCTTCAGGTGACCCGAGTGTTGGTTGGTTCTAGACTTCCAGCACCCCGGTCATCTGAAAAAGTGGACCGTGCGCACAAAAGCTCATGTTTTGTTAGTCTTTAAAGTGCTACTAGACTATTTGTTGTTTTTCAAGTTTTTCCTGTTTTTGGCCCGTTGCAGATCTCTAAAACTTACTGAACTTAATGCTTTCTTTAAAATGTGTGTTACTGATTAATACATGGTGTATTGTATTAAGATCAGATCTTTGCTCTTTGGTAGAGTTATGGCTCTTATGAGTCAGACAAAGCAAGTACTAGCTTGAGCTGTTAGCAGTATTGATACATGTACTCTCCAAGTGAAGTGTTAATTTTTTTTATTTACTATTGTATGCATTGCTCCTTGTTAAATATCCCTTGTTTTAATATATTTTCTTCCACACATATGGACTGCTTAACATTGTGTGTGTGTGTGTGTGTGTGTGTGTGTGTGTGTGTGTGTGTGTGTGTGTGTGTGTGTGTGTGTTTTTTGTTGGTTGTTCTAGTTCACATCCACACACACACTACCTCAATATTGGTGGTGCACATAAGAAATTTCAACCTGCCCAAAAGAAAATTCAACCCACCCAAGGATAGAAAATATTAGAGGGAACACAGCTGTTCATCTTGGGTACTAAACAAGTTCAGGGTCCTTTGGAAAAAAAATAGTAAGGAATCATTAGGTGTTAAAGACTGTATCATAATATAGGTGCACAAAGCAAATTAATTGCACAAGCAGCCTTATATAATTATAGTATCTCACTCAATGGCATGAGTGATCTGAAGAGTAGGTTTTTGGACTTAGATTCAGGTTTGTTTGTCTTTAGTTTGGGGGGAAGAGAGCAAAGATAAGGCAAGCGTTACTCCTCTATTTTTAGCATCAGCAATAATTGTTTTATATTTTCTTTTGGCCCAAATTCACCATAGTTAACACTTATATTTTATGTATTGGTTTGTTTTCTAACAGCCTGAAATGCTGAATTAATTTACTACTATTATCTTAAATAGTGCAAAGAGTTTGTGAAATAGCTGGTCTAGGCTAGACACCAATTAGGTATTTCACTGCAGAAGTTCTGTAGAAGAAGTTCAAAATGCTGTGTATGACCTGTGTTACAGATGGATGACAGTTTAGAGATTAGCAGAAGAATGTTGCAAGAACATTTACTATTCTGTTTCAATTTTACAGGAAAAATGTTTTCAGTACTGGCCATCAGAGGGCTCTGTAACTCACGGAGAGATAAATATAGAGATAAAGAATGACAGCCTTTTGGATGCTATAAGCATAAGGGACTTCATGATCACATTCAATCAGGTATTGTCTTTAAAGGGTTTCCTGCACTTTTAACTATAACCATGATAGATTTATGAACTTTTGTGTCTTTGTTTAAAAGTAAGTCAAGATAATATGTTTATATCCACTGTTACCTGGCTTTGTATTAATTAAGATAAAGTACTTATAAAATAGATTACATTGAAGAGTTTACATCACATTAATCATATGGAAATTCTGGCCAGTCCAAAGTACCTCTTTTAATGTGATGGTTTTATTTTGTGCTAAACAATGCTGTTCTTTGTATTATTGTTGGGAATTGTAGTAAAAAATCCATATGCATGTTGCTGACAATTTGCTCAAGTGCATTAAATTATAATGAAATCTCTTTATAACATAAATTCCTCTACCCACCATTAATTAAATCATGTTTCCAGACAAGTAGGATCCTGTAGTTGAAGGAATTATACTCTCAGAGCCATTCTTGAACCTTGTGTGGCTGTTATGGACCAAGATGTAGGCAGTTTTGCTTGGCAATTAGAGTAGGTGTCAGGTCTAGTGAGCACAGCAGGCATCCCGATTTGGGAACAAAGCCAAAGGTCAGCACTAGTGTCACCTGCTAGTTACCAGGGACAGAAGCCAGAGACAGAACCAGGAATCAGTTCTGAGGGTCAGAGCTGAGGTCAGATGTCAAAAGCCTGAGCCAAAGGTCAAGGTCAGAAGTTGGACGGTGGGTCAGAACCAGCAGTGATGACTGAGCACAAGGCATAAGGGCAGGCACTGGCAGAGAGGCACGAATCAAGGATGGAACGGGAGCAAAGTGGGATGAGGCTGGAGCCAAAAATAGAGTAGGAATCAGGAGCAGAGTTAGTGCAAGAAGCAGGCAGAAACAGGGTCCTATGCAGCTAGAACAGGAAATTGCCTTGTTGCTCAGACATTCTTACTGTGCTGCCTCCTGGATTACATAGTATAGCTCAGGGTTTCCCAACCTATGGGTCGGGACCCAAATATCGGTCACCATTACATTTCAAAAGGGTCGCCAAGTCTCTCCCCAGGTGGCTCTGCCCCCTTGCCTCTCTCTGTTTTTGAATTGCCTTGGGTCACCAAGTCTTCCTGAATTGTCAAAATGGATCCCCATCTGGAAAAGGTTGGGAACCACTGGTATAGCTGGACTAGTCAGTGGACCGGGTGATCCTCCAGTGGGTAGTGCCGTGGTAGTTCCTGTCGGTAGTGCCATGGCTGAGCCTATAGTCCTTTTGCTCCTCTTCAGCAGACATTGAGTAACTGTCTGGGGATTCCCAGACCTAGGATATCACAGTGTTCTGAATGTCACTACAAACTTCATCATTTGTTTGGCAAATTATTGAATCATCCATTTTTGAAAATTCTGAAAATTCTTCATTTTCCTATAGTAAAAGTTTAGACTCTGTGCACTAAAGTTTAGCAATGCATTTATGAAGTATGGTAACTGGTATTGTAGACATGGTGTGTCACAGATACCATGGCACACTTTCTTTTGACTTTGGTAGTGTAAACCATGAGAAGGACAAATAGCACAATTCATGCAGCAACTCTTTCACTATCACTTTCATGCCCCACATCTGTATCTACTATGCTGCCTTCCGGTGTTACTGTCAGTGCCATCTGGGTGACTATCCCATAATACCTATGCAGAGGATAGAGTACCCAGAGAACAAACACACAAAGCAGTGGCAGCAACATTTGGGAAAGTGCATTCTAGAATATTGTAGGGCATGCACAGCTGAGAAGGAGAAGGGGGGGACGACAAATCATTACACAAATATGATTAAGTAGTCTAATCTTCATAGCACAAAACAGTAAACCAAAGAGGAAGAGTTTGCCTGCACTGAGTTTTTTTTCTTAAAAATGTCCCACTACCTGTGGCGGCAACCTTGAAAACTCTAGGGTAGACCAGGAGCTGATGTTTTTACCTATGTGTCATCTACCTTTGCTTTTCAGATGTGTTGGGTTAGAGTGGTAAAAATTCAGTGATTTTGAGTCCCCCTGTTGCTGCAAGCAATGGAGTAATATCAGTTATGTGCAACAAGGGGAAATCATAAAAAAGAATCTCAGTGTAGATCTAAGAACGACCACATTTTTCCAAGACTGTCCAATTGTAGCACCATCTTTTGAGGTGACTTGTGGGTTAGTTGGGAATAGCCTTCTGCCTAAGGGAATATAAGTACAACAATGGAGTTTGGCTTCTGAATCAAGGAGGCAAAAAATCCATCTATGTCCAGACCATCTATCCAGACAGCCTACAAGTACAAACTAACTGTAAATTGTAGTAAATAGATATTGAACTAATTCTTCTTGTAATGATTTCTAGAGTAATATCACTTGAAATGGAATAATATTTCTCTGAGTGTTAATCAAATAATCACAAAGAGACTATAAAATTCTACAGAATTAGCAGTTTTTAACTGTCCTGTGTTTTTCCAACATTATTTTGCTTTTTTCATATCAATGTCTATGAGAGTGCAGTCGTGCACTTTTGTGCACCCTTTTTGCACTATGACAGACTTGTCTCATCATTATTATTTTTGGAATAATCATGCAATTGTGAGAACTCATAATGGAAAACTAATTAAATAAATACCCATATGCCTTTTCTGTAAAAATGCTTAAAAAATCAACAAGTCTAGGAGTAAAAGTGATTAATTTTTCAGGTAACAAAGTTGGATGAAACTGAATAAAAAGGGTCTAGACTACCAAAATGTTCTCTGTGAGATGTTTTCACTGACATTTTGGATACAGCCTTTAAAGAAAGCCCTAAGCCATTGATTTTCATATTTGAAATAGGATCCAAAATATTTCTTTAGAAGTAACTAAATGAAACAATTGTGTGAATTATAGGGTACATTTTGGCTGTATCTACACTGGTATGAATTTCCGGAACTGCTTAAAACGGAATACTATTCCGTTTTCAGTTTTTCCAGAAAAGGAGCGTCTACATTGGCAGGCTGCTTTTCCGGAAAAGCGCGTCTACATTGGCCACAGACGCTTTTCCGGAAAAAACTACTGGCCTGTCTACACTGGCCCTTTTCCGGAACAGTGTTCCGGAATAAGGACTTATGCCCGAGTGGGAGCAGAATAGTTTTTCCGGAATAGCGGCTGATTTTGTACAGTAGAGCATCGTTGCTATTCCGGAAATTCAAGGGCCAGTGTAGACAGCTCGCAGCTTATTCCGGAAAAGCGGCTGATTTTCCGTACTACATGAGGCATTAAGAAATAGAGCTACCTGAGTTATATGATAAATTAATCATGCAGCAGGTTGAAAATAACCACTATGCCATGATGTTATACAAACATTTCTAAGAAATGTTAAAGGTAAAAAAGCATATGTGCATTTTGAACTGACAACTGCATTAAATCTGTTTCTGCCACACTTTTGACTTAATCAGGAGAAGCAGAGCAGACTTGTCCGACAGTTTCATTTTCATGGATGGCCTGAAATTGGAATTCCTGCAGAAGGAAAAGGAATGATTGACCTCATTGCAGCTGTCCAAAAACAGCAGCAGCAGACAGGAAACCATCCAATTACTGTGCATTGCAGGTAAGACATTTCTTTTCTGCTTTTTAAATTTTTTTTAATTATTCCTATTATTTATGATCTGCATAACATTCTCCATCTTCTCTTTCTTTTGGTTTAGTGATTATCACGGCAATGTTCTATTCCAAAGGTCCAGACAGTACTTTTTAAACCAAAATAAAACCAAAATTTTGTTTTTTCGTGGATTTGTTAGTAAACAATAGAAACCATTAGCCTCACTCTCCTAGTGATGAGAGGACCTGCATATATTACAGTTGCCTGAGAAATAAAACATTCAAATACACACCTGAGCTTCATTCAGTCTTGTGAGTAGGAAAGGACAACCTACAACTGCAGTGAAATTTTTTTATAATGTGTATTGCAGAAGTACTCAGGATCAGAAACCCATTATTCTATGCACTGTCAAGACATATAGTAAAATATAGTCCCTGCACAAAATCAAATTTTACGTTAAAAGGCAAGTGAGTTTAACATACAGGAAGGAAGAGTGGTTGTGGGGATAAGGAGAACAGTGATAAAATCACACTGTTTCATAGCTAGTATAGAGTTTAATGGGTGTGACATAATTAAAAGGTATTTTTGTCCTCTGACACTTTCCATTTCATTTATTTTCTTCCACTTTGTCTGCCTAGTTCCTATTTTAAAATATTTAATAATTGATTTGCCTTTGCCAGGATATTTTTAAAACCTGTTTCTTTTTTGTTTTAAACCTTCACTTTTGTCCATTTTTGGTTTTGGCGTTTTGATCAAGGAGGTTTTTTTTAAAAATGTCTTTCTCTTTTCCAATAGAATAAAAATTAACAATTTTTAAATCCTTTACATATTTTAAATACTTTTAAAGTACACTCAGCTCTCCTGATATCCCCTCTCTATGCCATGTCCTTATCAAGACTACTGCCATTGCCCCCACTGTGTTAAGTACAGGCAGTCCCCGACTTACGCGGATCCGACTTATGTCGGATCCGCAGTTACGAACGGGGCTGCCCCAGAGTACACGGACTGCGGGACCTCGCAGTCCTGCCGCCCGTGTACTCTGGGGCTTTCTCTGCGTCTCCCTGGTCTGCAGACCAGGAAGACGCAGAGCAAAGCCGCGGAGGGGCTCCCGGGCCCGGG